GGGGTCGAGAAATCAGGGTAAGTAGAATTCAAAAGTAAGATTTCCTTGGTTCAGAGGAGATTCCAGATATGTGTGAGTATTATGTTTCATTCACACATTCACACGCAAACACGCTCATTTGACCTTATACAGTTCCGAGCACCGTAAAACACTTACCAAAAATTAATTAATTAATTAATTAAACACGCAAACGCACTCGTACAATAGTAACTAGATACGGCCATGGGGTCGCAGAAAGCAAGGCATTCCTAAAAATTGAGCGTGTTTTTGGTTACTCGGTCTCTGGGGAAAGTGTGTCATGAACTCTCCCCCCCAATTGTCTGGGCTGGCAGAGAACGAGCCCTCTCTAACAACAGTGTCCGCAGGCTTTCGGTTTTTTTTCTTTTACCTTTTTCAAGAAGAGTTTCATTAAGAAAGGACCGTGGGAATGGGCTCATCCTTTGCTGAGCCCTAAACACCTTTGATTGGCTGTTAGATTACAATCGTTGTAGTAAGGTAAGCGGAGACTACAGTGATTGGATAAACGAGCAAGCGTGCGTGTTCACCGCTTGCAACTAAAGACGGAGGGGGAAGATTCTGAAACAGAGTTGGGGTGGGGTGGGAGTGGGTGGGGCTCAAGCCCTTTGCTTATGTCCTTCACTACGCCCCGCCACTGGCTATAAAATGTGCTTGAAATTTATTGTGAGCTTGAACGTTTTATGATAATCAACAAGATCCAGGGCCAGATCTGCGACAGACATCGGCAATACGTTTCCCTGATCTTTCCCCGTTACCCATTAAATTTTGCTTAAGCTCCCTAAATAGGTCGCTGTGGGCCTACTTCGACCTCGTTTGCCTTCAATTTTGCCAGTGAGAGCAAGATGTTCAAGATCTTTATGTCTGGTGTCCCAAAAACTGCATTTGTCGTTTCCTGGTTGTATTTAACAGTGAGCTTCCTACGTGGGCTTCATCAAGCACTAGGTCTACCTGATTTGATTTCTTTTGCTTCCATGATGATAATAATAATAGATAATAGATAACATTTGTATAGCGCAAATTTCCACACAACAGCAAGCTCTGTGCGCTTTAC